TGCTGGAGGCTTAAATCAATCATTTCTATTTTTCCCAAAGTGATTTAGCAAAGTACAGAAATTGGCTCCTTCATCAATGGCCACAGGCCACTTTTCATGGTTAAGGTATTAGTGCCATGGACTAGAGTGATATATTGACTTCATGTAAAGCAGTCAGTGTTAGCACCACCTGTTTAATCATTCCTTTACAGTAGCTGTAGTTTGAAAACTGTCAACAAATGCCTTGTTGACACTATCAAAAAGGAGCCCAGGAGACCACTGTACACTACTGGTCCCCTGGAGTCCTTTCTCTGGGTTCATGCAAAACTTTCCTGCCACCACAATACGTTTCTGAGACTGCTGCCCAACAATGTCCCTCTCATTGCTACCTTGTGAGCTGACAGAGTCCCCTGGGACTGATGCCTGAGTCCATTAGCAACCAAAATACTGATGGAGATTTGTACTATGAAATGCTCTTTGAAAGTCTTGAACAAGCTTTAGGGGCCTAACTGCAAAACTGGGATTTAGATTAAATAAAAATCCTACTCAGCAGCCACCTAATCCTTTACTTAGGCCTGGAGATTCTTGTGCTAATAATTCTGCTTCTGTGGATACCAAAACTGTCCATGCTTACTCTAGTGGTAATCAGAAAGTAAAGGGAATGTAATCCAAGACTGCAGGTTTACACAACTTCCTTGCTGGGCACTCTATCTATAAACACTTCCCAGGTCATGGGAACATTCTGGTAGTACTGTATCTTCTTATCAGAGCAATTCTGTGCTGCATAGATATCACACAATCTAATTCCCTATAGGGAAGACCCAGCAAGAGCTCTGCATGAAAGACAGTGCATGCCCAAGAGGCATTGATATGATGCTCAAGGCATCCCATTTAGCATGTCTCAAAAATGTATTTATGTGCAGCCTCAGGGCCCAGATCGGCTACATGTGCTCTGAACAGATTGAACACATGGCAAAAGAACAAGGATCCTTCCTACATGGCCAGGAGTGCTTAATATGTAGTGATGTATTTGCCAGTGCTGCCTCCTTTTATGCTATAACTAAAGGGTTACATCAGTCAGGTGCTTGGGAGGTGCCTCTACAAATTTCCCAGCTTCAAAAGGTTGAAACATCTCCCATCTGCCAAGGAAATGTCGTATTTCCTCTCTAGGCAGAGAATAGTCATCCTTAACTCCCAAACTGGTGGGAAATAAATAAAAAAACAGAACCCAAACTAAAACCACAAGAAAATTACATGAAATCACTATTTATTCACTGATGTCCCTTACTCTATCCCAGAACCCAAAAACATCACAAACTCAGGATTTATCCAACTCCTGAGAATCGAGAGCACTAAACATTTCTGTATCTTTTGCTCCTGAAGTGGCCTTGGTTTGTAAATCTTCCAGCTTGGCTCTCCAATAATAATTATGGTACTTAGCCTCTATCTCCTTTCAGCTATTTGCTAACACAGTCCAGCTGATTTCTGCAGAAGGAATGAACAAACAAATTTGAACAAGGAAAATGTCAAGCCTCGGAGGACAGTAACAAAAGGGCACGCTGACAGACAGCTCAGTCTAATCATCTGCATCCCAGTGTTATAAAAGGAAACATTTTTCTCTGCAAGCAACCATCAGTCCTGTATAAAGAGGGCTAGAAGGAGACCTTGCATGGGTGAGAACAGTTTGAGTATAGAAGACTTTTCAGTCCATTCTTCCAGCACTTTTTATGCACCTTACTGCAAACAGTCACTGAAAATAAAAAAATTAGCCCTTAAAATCATTTACAGTCAGACATGTGTCCAGGCTTTTAGCTGACCTTGGGACACTGCTGGTTGCCACAATCTGCCCATCCCAGTCCCACTTAGGGCCACTCATCACTCTGTATACACAAGCCAGTGAGTGTGGCACTTAAAAGAGCTTCAGGAAGCTCTCAGCTGCATTTGGGCCATGGTGATACAAGAAGAGTGATCTTAGCATAATGCTTGCTATATAGAAAATCTCCTCAGAAGGACAGAAATGTTATTACAGTTCCCTCGAAGCAAGAGAGGTCTCACTCCCTCTCCTCCTTTTCACATCTGTCCCATCATACGTTCCAGGCAGCCAGGCTTGGTCACTTCAGAGAGCTGCCCCAGCAAGGAGAAGGATGCAGATGCTTTTGCAGAAGGGGTGAGCTGAACTGGCCACAGGAAGCCACAGGACCTCACAGCCAGGAAGAAGAGGATGAGCCTTTTGGCAATGCTGATCCACTCAAGCAGCTTGCCAGGTGCATGAAACCACAGCTTCAGAGCACAGAAACTCAAACCCTAATAAAGTTCAGCCTCTTTCCTTTGGTTTTAGGTGACCAGTGCCCTTACACGCAGAATATGAGTCTGCCAAAAGCTGAGCTGGGGCGAGTGGCAGGCAATCATCCTGCCAGGTGAACACCAGGCCCCTCCCAGGGGCAAACAGACACGTCCAGTCCAAACTTTGTTTATTTTTTGCCAGCTGAAACTGTTGGTAAATGCATCCTGATATTTTACGGCAAAAATGAAACAGTCTCGCTCCTCTGCAGAGCTCCCATTTCCAGGCCCATGGCCAGTGAACACTTCATCTCTTGCTGCAGCGTGACCAGCAATGGAACAAGCACTAAATGAGTCCTGCTGGTCCTGCTCTGTCAAAAATCCCAAGCTGGAGCCTGAGGAACCATGTGAGACACTGCCTGCCTACCACACTTCTCCTGGTTTGATTTCTGCAGATCACATGGAGGATCTGTTCAGGAAAATTCAGTCTGAAACACAAGTTTTGCAGTTTATTATCTGGCCCATATTTTTGATGTCAGGAAAACCACTACAAGAAAATAACTCATTATTAAGGAGAAGGGCTCCAGAGATTTTTTTTAATTCCAGTGCAAAGGCTTTTCCTTTAGCAGGCGTTTGTCTGTGGTGTTTGCAACCTAAGTATGTCAAGCAGAATCTGAAAATAACATTGATTAGAAACTGATTCTTGAAACAAGTCATGTCGTTTCTTGGCAGAGCAGCAATGAATTTTCATAACTGAGTTTTTCCAATCCTGTAATACACTAATTAGTTGGAATATATTAACATCTCAAAGATCACGTCAAATCACAACTTTTAATTGCACATAATTTCTACTAGTGTTTTGGTCCACAAATTATTTTGAAAAACACTAGAGTTAAAATAAAACATTTTAACCTTATAATTTTTTTTATAAACCCATAGGAAGAAAAAAACAAAACCATTGTTCAAGAAGAAATCCGGTAATTTAAAATAAATAACTTTGCCACAGATTTTTACATTTGATTTCTTGCTTTAAAGAGAAAATCCTACACCTGGTAACTTTATTACCTCCTGCAGCCCTCCTGAGCCATGGAAACAAATTTTGGAAAGATGCCCAAGGCCAATCATTTAAAAAAGCAACACCAAATCCTTTCACCCATTCGTTTCCCAGGTCACAGAATGAAAACCTGTAGACCTCTTATTTCCATCTTCAGCATATACTCTCACTTGAGACTTAGAAAGCAGCTTAAATTTGACTTACAAAAGAAAGACAGGCATGTCCTTACTCCCTGGAGAAAGCCTGTAAAAGTCACGTGCTTTTTAAAAAATTTTAATCTTTAAAAACTTGAACTCAAGATGTTAGGTGGGAAAGGAAGGCCAAGCCAAGCAGTTGGTGCAGACACAGAGTCTTGTCCTGTGTCAGCTGGAAAAGACCCATATTGAAAAACAGCTACACGAGGCCCTAAATGCCATAGCTCCTGGGACATTGCTGCACACGAAATACTGCAGCTCTATGTGTGCTTTGCAGCATTTGAAATGAAACTGTCTTATGGCTCTTCAGCTAAATTAACAATTTAAAATCTAAATAAACAATTATTTGAGAAAAAAAATAGACCTGAAACGAAATGCACACAGTCTATGGCCCCTTCCCATCACTGCAGATTAATTCAATCCTAAAACAAGACATGAACATTTTTCAAGAGCACTTTCATTTGTTTATGCAGAAGATGTGACCAACCCCCACTGTTCTGCCTGAGGTAGATCAATACTGCCATGCAGGGATAAGTGCATCCATGATTAATGCCTAGAAGAAGCTTCTTTGATGGGGCACTGGGATGGAGAGACACCAAGACGTTCCAAATCTGAACACAAAGCCTGTACTGTCATTGATCCCATCACTGTTGGCTCTTCAAATCAGTGTGGAGACACAGCCATTTAATGAAGGGGAAATTGTACAGTTACTGTGACTCTTTGTGGTCCTGTTTTTTACAGCCTTTCCTCATGCAGAATTATCAGTGGTAACAGGACTTGTCCTACTTTTTTAGGGGTATTTTTCCAAGACATATCAAGAGAGGGACCTTTGCTACCTCACTTTCTCTGTAGAACTATGCCTTTTCTTCACTGAAACCTTCTTTTGCTGAAAATAAAGCTAAAACTCAGCCCAGACTATGCTAAGAGACTGTAGAGTCCAGCCCAGTCCAGCCCAGTGCACAGGACTCCTCTGGAAGGATGTAAAATGTCAAGTACAGTACCCTAGTCTTGCCTTGCCTGGGCACCTCAAATATGTGCATGTGCCCACGTGCCTGTATTTATGGCAAACACTGTCTTCACACTCCTCACACAAGCACTGATTTCCTTGGAAGATAAGAGAATTAATCTGATGGTAGGAGATAATCAGGATTGTTCTTCTACAAACAATACAAAAATCTTTTTTGTATTTGTGTCTACCGCATGTATTTGCATCTACTGCATATAAGCTCATAGTTTTGACTCCTGAACAGGAAGGAAAATGTTTAAAAGGATTATATATATATAGCAGAAAACTTTGAAATCACTTACGAAAATTCTGATTTTTCACCTTTGTCTTTAAACATTTATATAGATCTGAGGGGTTCCAAAGGGGAATTTTTATAATCCTGTTCTGTGCTCACTGCATCTAAAAGCAATTAAAACTCCAAAAATGTCCTCAAGAGGCATTGATGCTAGGAGAATATTCAATTTCATTCATGGTTATTTGTTTTTTGTTAAGGCTTCCTTTATCTTTAGAACACATGCGGTACAATCATGGGATAAATTAATTAGGATTAAATAATTCCATGACTCATCTACATACAGGAGTTCAATGTATACTTGAATACGTTCAATAAAAAGGTGCTACTGATCCTTGTTCCACTGGTGTTCCTCCTGTTACTTGGCATGTAAAGTGCTTTCTTCTTTCAGCTTTGCCTTTTCACCGAGTCATCTTCCTTATTCAGTGTGCCATAGCATGAACTGTGAGAATCTGGTTGTACTTTGCCTGTCAGTTTTTGCCCTAAGAAAATGTGGTGAGAGAAGGAAAAAACAACAACTCCATGAAGAATTTTAATAAATTCCCCACCAATCCATCATTTAAACATTCTTTGCTCCAGTAATCATTGTTTTCATTTGACTGGTTGTAACAATAGCTTGGAAAAACCTTGAAAAATTCTTTGAAAAATCTGTTGGGAACAGGAATAGAAATTAAGGGAACAGTATATTTATTAAATGTGACTAGAGCACTTCTGTGACTCAATTCTCCTAAGTCATCCCATTATCTGATACCTCATTTAAAGAAAGACAGGAAAAAAGTCCTACTTACCAGGAATATGTCCACAGTCAATAAAAGGAATTTGTAAATACTCCTCTTTTTTATTTCTTGCAATTATAATCACACCAAGGAAAGATAGGAGACACCTGCAAAATAACAGTGGCATAGTATCATTAGAAACAGCTCACTGCATCTGAGATGAGAATTTCTTTCCCTAATTCTTTTTCAAGACTTCCAAACCCAAGTTGCTGAGTTTATAAAGAAACACTTCTTCCTGGCAGCTCTATAAATTTATTTTGGGCTTCATTCAGTCTAGTTTTTGCCTCCTGAAGCTTTATTATTAGTTCCAAAGGCTCCACAGCCAAAATTACACTTCCAGCAATATATACCTAATCAGATGCCTGTGAGTGTGAGACCTCAACATTTGAACCCCTGAGCAAATCTTCACAGGGCAACCAAGCTAGCATTCTAGCATGTGCTATTTCATTAACAACTCAGTCTAGCTGTGGACAGTCGACACCTCTGTTGTTTTTCTCATTTGATTGTGTGTCTCAGGGGCAGGCTGTAAGCCAGGAGCAATGAAAAACTGCTATGGCTGGACACATCTTCTATCTGCTGTGTGTTGGACACACAACCCCCAGTTCCTATCTGCCAAATACATGGCTGCTCATCTCCATTCTTTTGTCTCTTTTCCAGCAGTCAGACAAGATAGTGGCTGTGTGCACCTACTCCAGCCCAGCTGCAGAAGATGAAGATGTCTGTAGCTATCAGCCCCATTAATTTGACAGCACTGTGGCAAGACACATACAGCAGTTCTAGGAGATCATTCAAACATTTCGTGCCCATTATTATAATTGTCACCTCTCCCAGAAGTTGTTGTGGTGCTGATAGCCAGCAGAAGGTTTCTGCTCTCACAACACCTAGGCCATTCTTCAAAAGGCTATTTAGCATGCTCTGAAGTTTTCCATGGCATGCTGTGCCTTTCTTGACACAGGAAGATGGGGGAGAGTTAATACAGTACTGCCTTGTAGGCAAGCAGCTCATATAATTGCCCATGCCTAGGGGCAGAAAAAAACCAGCCAGACACACGAGAGGAAGGTATCATCGGAGGAGATGTCTCACAGCTGTAAAAGCACCCCTAGAATTTGCTATTTGGTGGAGAGCAGTGACTTCTCCTTCCTGCTGGAGGAACACATGATGCTGGTTTTTCATTCCATCACGAGATTAGTAGTTCACAAGTGTCTCACATTTTTACATATTTGGATTCAAAACCAGGCCTCCAAACTCCCAAAGCACAGACATCAATCTTTCCTTTAATGTTTTTTTTATCCTACTATAATGGCTATTCCATAATACTTTAATAACAAGGCGGGTTTCTTCTTACTGAGAAAAGAAGAGATTCCACAAGGCAATGCTGTTTCAATACAAACCTTAGTGCAGATTTTAGGCTGATACACTTACCCAAACAGAAACATGAACACGCTCAGTAAAGCTGCACTTTGGAATTCCCGATAAAATATGACCCCTGGAATGTGACAGAAACAAGAATTGCAGATCTTGACTGGCTTCCAAGTGATATGAATTACAGCTGGGAGGGTCAGAAGAAGTGTCATGCTTAAGTGGAGCAAAAAAATCCCAAATAAGGTATTAATACACATTGTGATGTGTTCACTTTATGTCCTATATTCCATAATCTAGGTTTTCTCAAGATACTGCATAGGACTGGAGAAGATTTAGTCAATCAGGGTGGAACATGTGCTGGGTTAGTAATTGCACAGATGCAGGTATCTTTTGCATTGTCAGCAACAATTTCTGTGCAGATCAAACTCAAGGTGTTATCCACAAGCAGAGACACACCAATACAGCTAGGAGGTTCTTCATGGGCTTCGTTAAGCTACTCCAGCAGATCATGTGGACATCTTAACTCCAATTGGGAACAGATTTTCAATAACTAACTGTGTCCCTGATGTTTACATCAAGTGAAAGGCTCCAGCGGCCAAGTTTGCCAAATCTTTCTGGCTGAAGGGATCACTAGCTCTTTCTGGTCACCCCTCTTCCAGGAATTAGCACCTCTGTAGTGGAGGTGACAGAACCAGATGTGTATCTGGATCTCAGCTGCCCCTATTAACAGCCAAGTATATTAGCTTTAAACCACTGATGAGCACAGCTCTGCTTAGAAACACCAGAGTGGGACCCAGTGCAGCTGAAGTGTGACTGTGTCTTCAAAGGCTGTAACTGGGGATGGGGGAATCATGAGAGCAGGTACCTTCTATGAGCACCCCAGCAAGATTCAGCAGAGGCTGTTCTTCTAAGCCCTACACTGGTTTAACTAACCTGGTGCAAATGCATGTGTATCCACTCTCAAAGCTATTAAGCCATTCCTGAATAGGTACTTGATCTTTTAAAGAGGCACCAAGCCAAATTCCCCATATGGTCACAGGAACACAACCCCCTTTTGGCACAAGTTTCCTCTTGGTCACAAAATGTAGGTCTCTTCTAACACAGGTGTTGAGGCAATCTGTGCGTGAAGCTAACTCCCCTTCTCATTAATGGCAGCTCTGCATGAGAAACTCCTGCACAGCAATGACAGGAAAGCCCCCAGTGTGTGTTAAAATGAGTCATAAATGTTCTAACAACATGATCATTTTGGCTCATTGCTGATACAGCATCTTAGTCGTCCTCCCAGCTCATGTTCTTACACTGCACACCATTTCCAAGATTTGCAGTCCCTCTTTAACAATGCTGAGTTCAAAGTTCTCACCCAGAATAAAATGTTAAATGCTTAAAAAGTTTTTGTAGTCATTTTATTTCCTTCACTTAACCCAGAATTCCACCTTCTGAAATGGAATATACGCTAACTACTATGAAGCACAGCTGGTTGTCATTTGAGTAGTTTGCCAGGCTGTTAAAATTACTCCACCAGTTTGCATAGGGAGAGACTGGTGTGCACATGGTAAATGCATTTATTGGATGTCAGTATGAGGGTAGGATAAATGCAGGTACTTCTAGTAAGCTAGGAAGGTACAGTAAATCACACATATCTATTTTGGAAAGGTTAGAATTTGATTATTTTTATAGAATTATAGAATGATTTGCATTGGGCTGGACCTTAAAGTGATCCAGTTCTAACATCCTGCCATTTATTTTGTTTAAAAAGTTGTGAACTTATTTGTTTTTTACAACTTAAACACCTATGACTTAGGAAAAACTTCTTTCTGTGAAAACAAATATGACTGGTTTGGGTTCCTGTTCACAGGGTTCCTGTTCTTGAAAATCTGATGTTTAAAAAATCTTTCTGTAGAGGAAGAAGGTCAGAAACAAACCTGAAATGATGGCACTGGTGGTGAAGAGCACAAAATTAATGGGGACAACAGCTGTTGCTTCATACAGATGCATTGCTTGATTCAAGAACCTGCAAGATAAGGATTATTGCATCTCATGCCTACAGGAGGTTCCTTGCACTTTAAGTCAGGTTAAGCCATTTCTTGTCAGTTTAACAAAAAGTGTGACCATTTCTTACCACAACAGCAAGTAGCCCCAGGACAGCATACACATATTGAATTTGCTTTCTGGTTTTGACTCTGCAGAGTACAAATGAATAAGTGAAAGCAAGAAGGTTGGCATGGATTCTTCTTGCCATAGGCTCTCAATGGACTTATTTTTGAAGCATTGCTGGAAAACTTTTGTCTGCCACAGATAAGGCAGGAATGCTAGGGTATTATTGCTTATGATCTGCATTGGTTCTTGGAAGCAGTGCTGCCTGCAAGCAGCCAGGGACAAGTTGCTCTAATTCAAACAGGTTGTGTAAGGGTATATTGGCATCAGGGACATGAACATTTGAGTTCTTGTAGGAACTGTTTCACCTTGCTGAAGTCCACAGTGCTGCTTCTGCTCAATCCAGCTTGCCTGAAACACCTATTTGTATGTTTATCTATGTAATCACGCCCCAGAAACACTCTGTCCAGGAAGGTGCTTCAAGCTTGTGCTCCTTGGGTTGGAAACTCTGCCCTGCTCTTCAGAAAGGCAACGTGAACTCTCACCAGAATCATGAGCAAGAGTGTGCAGGACCACAGGAGCATACATTGCACACAGACCTGCAGGAATGAGACACTGGCCATGGAGCAGCCTGCACAATCTGCAAAAAGGCAAAGCAATTAACCCACTTGTACAGAGACTACAGCTATCAACATTCACCCATAGAGTGATGAATCATGAGCTGACATTGTGGATGCACCTGTAGATACTCTGTTATGTGAATGGTCATTTCAGAGAGAAAAATCAGGAGTCTGCAAAGTATATTCAAGCCTGTAAAAAGAACCACACTTGAACATTTCACTGGCGCAATATATGTGCACAGTAAAAATCCAAGCTTGGATCTGTTTTAGCCATTAAAATAATTGCGTGGTTATTTTAGCAACTGTTGAACAGTCTCCATGGTGCTTTAAAAATAAAGAAATCCTACATATCCACAGGATAGTCAGGATTTTGAAGTCATTGAAAACACCTCATTATTTTCTCCCATTTGCAACAAACTTGGTCACAGGGACTAAAACAGTGATAGCAAGGCCCAGTGTTGGATCCAGGAGATTGTTGCAGCACAGGCTGTTCTCAGCTAATGAATGACAGTCAAATAAAGTAAGAGAGAAAACAAAATGAAAAATCTAGACTGACAGCTCTGTCCGTGTTAGAAAATGCATCCAAAAGAGTAGACAGAAAGGGACACTGAGCCCAGGGAATGAAATGGGCACGTTTCACTTCTGCTTTAATTTTGGCTGGCAAAAGAAAGAACGAAAACAATTACAAGTTGGAGAGGCTAATTCAGGAGCTTCTTATTTACCAAGCTCTTATTTCCTATTGCAAATGCCCAGAGCTGTTCTCCCAGCAAAGACAAGCTGGATGTAAATCACTTTATAATCTGTTACAGGGGAGTTCCTGATTCAGCCATGGAGAGTCAGTGCACAATAATGCATGGACTTTCTGATTCCACATGGGAATGGTGTGTTCTGCCATGAAAAAGCTGGGTTGGCTTTTCTACCGGAAAATAATCATGCAAGTAACTACTCAGGCTCACACTGGAGCAGTCTAGATGAGATTAGTGAAGGCTGCTATCAGCACCAGAAGCAGAGGGACAGGCAGAAAGGGAACAGACTCTGTTCAGCTGCAAGACATATTTTACCATGCTGCCACCCCCAGCAATCTGCAAAGGCAGCATAAACCAGTCACTTCACAGACCAGAGGCCTGCAGGGGAAACTTGAAAGGTACAGTCATACAGGACAGCAAAATGCAACACTGCAGATTTAATAGAGGAAGGGAGAAAGTTGGGATAAACTCTCTTCTTCAGTCTGACTGGGGCCATAAAGCAGGGGAACAGACATGAATAACGAGCGTAAACATGGCCATTAGATTATTCAGCAATAAAGACTTTAAAAGTAACACCAAAATGACTACATAAGCATAAATTTCACTTAGTGTGTTAAGACCTGTGCCAAAACTAGGCAACTAAATTTGGGAAGACCTTGCTGAAGGTGATAATGAGAGGAGGTGGTGTCCATAACAATCAATGATAAACTAAGAAATAAAGTTTAAATAAGTAATACAACCAGCTGGAGGCAATTTATGCATCTGTCAAGGCTCTGCCAGAATATGTTGCCTTAAAATGCAACTTGTATCAGAAATCACTATCAGTACCAAATAAAACTGTCAGATAAAACATGTATGAAGGTTAGTAGGTAAGTAGAATCTCACTTACTTGATTTGGAAAGCACAAGAAGTTGCCATTAAAACACTCATGATATAGAAAACAGAGTAAGTGAGCTGCATTTTCCCCTTCACAGAAAGTGCTATCATGCTGGACACAGCCTTAACAGCAATGACAGTCAGTGATGCTGAAAGGGAAAGGAAGAGATTAGCAGGGCAGGACTCAGATTAGCAGTGACCAGCATATCAGTGATGGAGGACAAGGATCCAGGTCAGAGCCACAGGTCTGATCACTTTAAATAAGACTGAGGAAGGACTGGGCACCTAAAACGAGTGTATGGTTTTATAAATGCTTGCTAAGCTGCTGTCTAAGTTCAGTGGCCTTCAATCCAAGTATGCTGTGTGTTTTGCCTTTAAGTCTTTTTAGCACACTGGACTCTCAGTTGAAGGTGGCACAACAGCCTCCACATCTTCCACACGTAACTTTATTCAGCTAATTTGGAGCCCATGTTTCAGTATTCAGGAGACATCTGAGAGGTCTGGTTATCTGTTCAAAGCAGTCAGGATGCCTCTTTATAGCAGCCTGCATGTGTCACTGGCAGCCTCAAATAACTCATCACCCTCAGGATTTCTCTTCTAAAACAGGAGCTGGACAAAGCTGACTTCTGGGATCACATTCCAAAGCACCAAACTCTCCCCATGTGTTATATATACATGAAGAGCAGACAAACAACACAGGAGTCTGCACTTCATTTCAAGGGCCAGGCTCTTGAGACCATTTACTGGATTTATCCCACAGAAAGAGTATTTCAGTAGTGAGTTGTCAATCCATTTAATCAGTATCATTGCATCACCACAAACAAATTTTAGACAGCAGGCAATGGTTTTAATACATGTCACCAGTTCAGAGAGGTTTTGCAAGACAAATCTTTTAGAAGAGGGGCTGAGAGTTTAGCTAAGAGTTACTTTAGATTTCCTTTTGGAGCTCTTGATTTGTGGAAGCTAACCCAAGAAGTCTGTGATTACTGCAAATAAAATGTAACAAATTCAAAAAACCCAAAAATTTCAAGAGTCAGGCTGCAGAGATGACCTTCGAAGAAAGGTAATTAATTGTCAGGAGAACCATCCCCCAGCTGAGATCCTGTTCTACCCTCGTGCAGAGCTGAGGAGTGTTGGATTTCAGTGGTCTGATTCATCCTCCTGTTACATTCAGATTGGCAAGGAGACCTGCACTGTGCAAAAGGTTGGGAGAAAAGGAGGGGGAAGAAGAATGAATGCAGGTCTGTGGGTTTGATTGCAACCATTTTTCTTATAGAAAGCCCAAAAGTTCAGGTGGAGTTTAAGAGTTGCATACATCCCATGATGATCCCGTTCATCACCATGAAATTCAGTTTTCATGACAACCTTTCCACCCAGCACTTCACTTCTTTCTCTGTAATGGAAACAGGTGAAGTGCTTTAACAAACACAGCTGTAAAACTGAACAGAGGTCAAACATTGGCCTGTAGTGCTGCAAAAGTTATGATACAAAGTCAAAAATACACTCAAGCCCCAACAAGACATCCACATAAAATTGAGATTTACACTCTAACATGGGGAAGTTATTATTTTAAAAGAACACTTACAGGTAAAAATTAGTATTTTGAATTGTCCCGCTAAGAGTAAAGGTTGCTAAATATTTTTTTCTGATGAAAGGGCATTTTCCACACCTTATAATTTTAACAAGACAGAAATGAAAGCACTGGGGGCTTTGGTTAGTTGGTTGGTTTATGCTCTTTGAGAAATGAAATTATCTCTTTCATTAAAGTAACTCCAAATCAAGTTTCAAACCTAGGAGTTGTTGTTTTCTCTGTCAGAATGACCTTCGCTCAAAGCCAGTGTGACAATTGATGTCACTTTCCAGCTGTTAGGATAGAAACCTCTAAAATTCCACTATAATCTGAAATATTTCCCCCAAACTTTTGATAACTGAGTATATACATGAGTTAAGATGATTCCCACCAAATGAATTTCCAGAGTTGTACTAACCAAAACTTTATCAGATTTTGTGATCACCACTGTATTTTCTTGATGGTGAAAGTAGCTTGTGTACCCAGTGAAACACAAGGCTGCCCTCTCTGTAAAGAAATCTTTTTACATTTAATTTACATCTGAATGAACACTCCACCAGGACTATATCACCTTCCATGAGCACCCACCCCTTCGACAGGCAGGGCCTTGAAAGGGCAGTGCCTGTGTCACACAGCTGGAAGCAAAGTAATGGAGAATTTTTCAGCCCCTCCATCACTTCACTCAGCAGATGTCAGAGACCAACCAGAGTGCTCTAAATGTAGGTTTGTGGAGACTGCCAGGCTCCAGGACAGCTGCAGGAACCAGAGTCAGATGCAGTTCTGAGTTTCATGCTCAAGGAAAATATCAGTATTTCAGAAGATCCCATGAACCAGGATTTGTTTGTTTGTGTCTTTTTTAACAGAGCAAAAAAACCCTGACACATTTTTCCTCAGGTTGCATAAGCTCACAAAAACCTCAGCAGCCACCAGCTGAAGATGTATTTTTGGTCGATTGCAGCCAGACCACCAGACTGCAATGAGTGCCTGCCAGGGCACAGGGTTGCAGCCCAGCTGCCATTCAGCAGCTTCACATTGTCCCTTTCATACCTGCAGCATCAGGGCTGGCAGGATGCAAAGCAGAGTCAGCAGGGCTGTACAGACCAATGCCCAGGTACAGACCAATGCCCAGGTACAGACCAATGCCCAGGGTATAGACTGAGTGCCCAGGTACAGACTGACTGCTCAGGTACAGACCAATGCCCAAGTACAGACTGAGTGCCCAGGTCTCCAAGGTCTTGCCCAGGGCAGCATCATGGTGGGCCTGCCCAGAACAGCAGCAGTGATGTGTAGAAGCACATCTGGAAATCTTCAGGCTCCCAGTTGTGCAGAAGGAGGCTGGACCTTTTCTCAGGAGTGCACAGTGCTTCACATTCCTCACGGCCGGGCTGGAAGCTGCAGAGTAGCTCAGGGGAGCTTGGCCAGAGCTCCAAGGCTCCGTGCTAGGAGCTGGGGGACACCACACTCACACTTCCCTTCTCCTAACCAGGAGCAGTTAGACCTAAGGCTCTGGGGGCTCTTCCATCTCTGCCTCGTGCAGGGAACGTGGAAATCCTTCAATGCTTCTGCAGAGCTACAGATACTAATGTTCCTAGCACCGGGAAACCTACCATCCCAAAAAAGTTGTTCTGAAAGTCTGAGCTTTTCAGCTGAGTAAGAAACCACTCAGGAATCTGAAGGAAGGGAGTTAATAAATCTGTGAGGGTTTTTCACATTCAAATTCAGTTAAATCCAAATTTTGTTCCTGGAAAACTTTAGTGAAATTCTAGTTTATCAAAACCCTCATGGTCATTTCCATTAGAAATTCAAATCTTTGCAGACTGATACATGCACCCACTGAACTCAGAGAAAAAATAACCTATGACTTCAATGACACCTTTCAGCCAAAGGCTTGTGTCCTATGAGGGTTTCATGGAGAAATGACAAGACAAGGGCAGGAGAATTTGTCACAGGGAGTGATGAAAAGTCTTGATGTAACCCTGCAAGCACAGGAGCTTTAGAGATTAACTCCTGACATTTCTCAAAACTGATCCAAATTTAACTTTATTGAAAGATACTGAAAAAATGATCTCTTGTATTTCCCTGGTTATTGATTGTGGTGACAGTGATAGAAAATGAACTTTAGTGGCCCATTGAGTTCTTGTTCTTCAAGAGAGGTGATAAAATATGAAATGTTGCACATGCAAATAGTCATAGATAATTAAAAGTAGCTGTACAGTCACAGCATATCACTGCATTTGTTTACAGAATCCTTACAAGGTCTTCAGCTGCTCTGGTTTAGAGAACTGATTTTCACAGCCTGCTCTCCAAAACGAAGTTTTGAATAGTCCACTTTCCCAGGATCTAAACTTAAAGTGTTATTTAAAAAAAGCTTCAGAATACCATTGCACATAGCATATTAATTTGAGGGTATCTGTCAAAAGAAACAGCCCCAGCAATAAGCATAGAAACTATGTTTAATAATCAGCCTTTCTCTTCAGAAAGACAACACAGTAAAAATCATGTGAAATGTTTCAACGATTCTCCTTCAGCACACTGCTTTATCTAATCTAATCTAATCTAATCTAATCTAATCTAATCTAAGACATCTGAAGAGATGGAGTGACAAAGAATTACCAAGTAACAGACAGGAACATTAAAGTCAATAATATGTTCTTACCCAGTAGAGCTACCATCATTAACAAAACCATGATGTGTTTCACAGCCTTTTTTTTGTAAAAATAGAGGAGAATGCAGAATATTATAATTTCTAAAATCTGAAAATAAAAGAAAAGAAAGTTAGAGCTGTGAAACTATGTAATAAATGCTTCATTCAAAGTCTTTGAGATGTCACATCCATTTTTGCTGCTCTATCTGTTCCAAGCAAAGAATGCTTTCTGCTAAAAAATAACTATTGACAGTTGACTGAGCTATCAAACAGCTGTTGTTATTTATCTTTCCTGTTATAGCAAAAGTTACACTTTAAGCATTTTTTACATCTTCAGTTTTTCATCTTGCACTTCTATCTAAATTTTGTCACTGGTAATGTTGAGAAGACTTTTTTTAATGTGGCAGCAAAGGTATGAATATTTATCAGTCTCTGATATCTGTCTATAATTGCTATGGAGTAAAGCACTTAGCAAAAGAAAGAGCAACCTCTCCTTTTAGCTATAGTATTCCTTAAGGTCACTCACTCTTTGTGGTGTGCAAGCTTATTTGTGCTACCCTCTTTGCCCTTCTCACCATTCCTACTAAAAATTCCCCTCAAAACTTTGTCCAAATTTTCTGCCATACATCGTAAGGAGGAAAGCACTTATTTCATATGGTAGTTCTCAAACCACAGGTACCTTCCAGGACATTACCTTGAAAAGTTCAATGACACACTAGCAGACCACACTACTGGGCATGTTGAGATGCTGAAGCAGCTCCACCTATGCCATGCATGGTTCAGTTTTGCTCCTTCAATAACATGTGACAGCCAAATGAGTTAAATTTGCTGACTTCCTGTTCATATGTCTCTGAGATTCCCTCAGTAACTCTTGCCATCTCAAAAGCATGGGTATTTTGCCTCCTGCCTGAAGAGATTCTCCAAATATCCCTTTATGCCTAAAGGAAACAAATATCCCTTTATGCCTAAAGGGCCATAAAACTTCTGTGAAGTCCAGAAGACTTATGGAAGCAGGAGTGATGCACCTCTGCACTAAGGGGTGCTCAGATGCCTGTAACCTTAAAGACAACATGAAGATAGAGAAGTTCATTTGTGCATGTCACAAAGTAACCAAATGGGGCAAATAAGACAGAAAATGAGATTGTCATCATTACTGAATTTCATTATTGTTATTTTTTGCCAACAAAGCAAATCATAGAAACATCTGTTAATCTCCTTGATTTTGTCACCAGCCTACTATTTTATGTTTTATAATGCCACTTCACTCTTAAACCAACAGCCACCATAAGGCAACACTAGACTGAAAAGTACCTGGGTGTTGTGCTGATGAAATTTCCAAAGAGGTGACTGAACAGTTACTAGTGATGATTATATAATATAATAGCCCATTTCTCATTTTAGAGAGTAACTGCAGCAGGAAAGCTGTCAGCTCTGCCCAGTGACTAAAATTCTCTGTCACATGTATACCCTCCCCAATTCAGTAGTGTTTAAAAATATTAACAGAACATAATTATACTTGAATTCAATTTTTATTTACCTTCACATGGATTCCTTGTTCCCAAAGGCAACCAAGAGACAATTACATTTCAAAACATGAAGAACACAAATTTGGATTTTATACCACCTTTCTTTTAAAAATGGCAAATATTTATCACAAGATTAGAAAAATCAAAACAACAAAGTTGAGAGGGAGGGGGTGTTTAGTTGGTGCTTGTTTGTTTGTTTCCAAAAGTGTTGAACAGAATAAAGTATTTGGTTGTGAGTTAATAAAAAAGAAACCAAACAAAACCAAAATAACAAAAAAACCTCATTCCTGGATTACCAGGCTAATACTAATTGAATAATCTTTACAGTCTCTTGTGAAGTGCTGGTCTCATCTTCCTCCAGATTGATGTCCCTCCCCACCAGGTTTGCACCCAGAGATGAAAACCTGGCCACCAGCTGGGGAAAAACAGGTTTTTGCCTCAGTCTCACAGTAAGCAACTTGGCCAGCCTCTCCAGCTTTATTCAACAGTGCAACACTGGCTAAGTGTAAATCAGGAACCAAGGCACAAGAAATGCCAAGATTTGTAGACAGGTGAGTTCATCTTGGCCTCCCTGTTGAAAACTAGGACAGGGTTGTGAGAGGACTTGAGAGGAGAAGTAAAAGTGGCAGCTTTGCTTTTTGTGCCACTGCCAAACACATCTTAGGGCCAGAAGGGAATATCATGTTATCAGGCTGCAGCTACAACAGCCACCAGGTTCTGACATGGAGCAACTGGTAACAGAACAGAAGAAATCTGTGCTAAGTAATATTCCCCACTCAGAAAGGTACCCACATTAAGAAAGAAGTCCCAGAGATGTCCAAGGTATCCTCTTCCACAACACTCCAGTTCGGACTGGCAGGCAGGGTGGTGTGACTGGGACTAGGTCATGGCACCAGGTAACAGCACAGTGAACTCTGCTTCCCTCACCAGTGCAAACCTGAGCACCAGTCATTCTTCCCAGACCCTTGGTGTGGTTACCACAGATTGTGCAGAAATCCACGAGACAACCCTACTGCAGGCAGCCACACCTACATTGATTCATTTTACATCCTCTAGGCAAACCTAGCAGGGAGAGCATCATCATCTGTCCCGTCACTGAGATTTCAAACTACGCAAGAACAATCATCCAAAAACAAGCCAAGGCAAGTCACTGGCTCAAACTGTTGCATCACAGAAGCTCTGTCATTCTACTCCCTCTTCTACCTCAGTCCAAGCCCCTGAGTGGCAGGTAGTGCCAAGCAGCACCAGCTTTGACTGAACCAGATCATCATAACTGGCTCTGTCCATCAGCCTTCTGTTGGTCCTCATCGTTTCAGCATGTCTTCTCTTGCTAAAGCTACAATAAATCTCTGTGGTGATCTCCTCCTACTTAAAAGCAAACCAACCCACCAAGAAGACACATCTGAAAGAAAACAGCCAAGCAGAATAATCAAAAGGACACTGGAGTCCCTGATGGCAGCTCTGGAAGGGGTGCACAGGTCTGTGTGTGTGGCTGCCTCTACCTCCTGGGGAAACCCCAAGAGCAGCTGTGTGTAGGGCCAGAGATGGCAATCCTGTGGCCACACCTAGGGGAATAAATGATGTTTGCTTTTCAGGGCTGCTGTTTAAGTTTACTCAGCTCTGTCAAGTCTCACATACTAAGCTGGAAATCCAAACAATTAGTTCTCAGTGCTGCCCAGCAGCCTAACTATTTTTCCATGGTTCTCTGTCACTTGGTGACCCACCTACGGGTCATTTTTAATCAGAAGACAAGGGAGAGTCTGTGACAATTAAGTTACACTGCTAGCAGAGTCCATGGCTCCTAACAGGGCCTCACGTATGTGGGGTGCTCCAGCTGCTACCTAAAATTGTCTTCTGAGAACTACCCAAAACAGTCCTTAGTCCCATCCCTGACAGCTGTGGTAGTGATAAATATGAAGTCCTGGAATGGGAAGGGCATAGATTGTATCAGCATCACATACTCTGTTTAGGGGAAATGAAGGAATTTCACCTGCTTACAATCATCTTTGCTATTACAACTCATTTCTACTGAGGTCGCCTCAAGCCCACATCTCATCAACATTTTTTAATAATCATGTTTTCTGTGTTTCTAAGCATTACCAGAAGGCACCAAAACAAAATACCACATTGTCTGCCTCAAATGTTTTTCTGGCATATAGAGGATGGTCTTCTAGGCACTTCGAAAGAAAAGCAGAAATGTTTTGAACCTGATTTTGCAGAGATAAAATATTAACAACCCAATTTCTACTAAGCTTCTGTTTAGGGAAACCTAAGAGCTTCATCTATGATTTATGTCTTCTGTAGAGACTCAAAGTGCACATAAGCAAACAGAAAAAAACATGCTAGGATAGTCATTCTTGCTCAGACATAATTATGCTACTGCAGAGTCTCAGAAGGTGACTCAAAGTTGTCTTGTGGGAATTAGAGGCTATTTCTGCAGAATATACCAGTGGAGTGCCACATGGGGATGGTTTACCACCCACAGAGAACATTTCGTACCATTGGAGCTTTGTATTTCTCAGCAGACCACACTTTGGGGCTACTTTTAGAAAGATCCAACGTTGGAGTGCTTTATACTTCTGTAGTGTCTCCTCATTGTATATTTATACTGGAAATTCTGCAGCTTCTGCTGCACTTTTTATATCTCAACAGCCAGCCAGTGCTAGGCATTTTACAACCAATTTTGAAGAGCTTGTTCCCTGCCCAAAGAGAATGTTTACAGCAGGGTTTGCTTCCAGCAGCATACCAGGGTAATTAAGCTGATATCTCAGTCTCTTGTGGAGCCTTTCACTCTTTCCCTTTCTTTAGTCAGAGGAAGCTCAACACAGATGAACCCATGGAACAGAAGGAACACATAAAGTTTGATATATTTTTGAGTCAAGATTTGCTGTGTATTTGCTCCATCCTTCCCTACAAACTATGCTACACATGTACAATTAGATGCCAGCTGAGGTAGGGAAAAGAGAAAAGAAGAGAAATAAAGTTCAGAGGTTTCCTACTATCTCCTCACAATGTCTCCTAAGTAGAATACAGCACAGTCTTCCTATGCATTCAATTGTATTCTTGAATACTTTTCCTGAAACTAAGTCCAAAGAGTCCTCAGGTGGGGAAAAGCCCTTTTCCAGGAACCTGTTGTTTTCAATAAAATGTGAATGGTATATCATAGAAATTTCTGGTGTCACTGAGTGTGGATAGGGAGTTTTATCTCTTCTACACAAATGGGTGAATCAACAATTTAAAATCAGTGCCTAAAATGTCATGCTGCTTTATCATCTGTAAGTGGAATTGCATGGTAGAGGGTGAAAAAAGAGCATTGGTATCCCTATTTTGAACTCCCTCCTCTTACTCTGCTGATTGCATGGACTTCTTGAAGCTGTTGTAGATGCTGAAGCTACCCTTACTGGCTACCCCAAAACTCTTGGGTATTGCCTTCAAAATCCTCTCTACTGCCTGATTGAAAGTACATGTTGTGAGTTATACAGTGCGAATATTAATTTTTTCTACTGAGCTGTATCACCATCTTTTGGGATCTTTGAAAGGGCACAAAAAATTGAAAGACAGTTTAAAATGCAAAACTAACTGAAAGAGAGGATCAACACTTTTTATGGTAACACATAATTTCTGTTTAATTAGTAGTTTATGTGTAGTTAGATGCATGTAAAGTCTGCACATCGGCTAAAAGATTAAGGTCTTTAAACTGTCCACTCAGTGGCTTTCTAACTGAGATTCCTATTAAGAAAAGCCTGGGCACTAAGAATCTAACTTGAGTGAGTCCCTTTCCTGGGAAAAAGGAACTGCTTCTGAAGCTCCTATATTGCATCTTTTACATTCAGCTGGAGGAAAACTTTTTCAGCTTTCCAGAGGAAAAGAGGGACAGAAATTCATCCTACTCATTCCATCAAAGAAGATGTATGGTGTTTGAAGTTTGTAAACAGATACTTTAATCAAAATGGTATTTTTGTATTGGAATTCTATCTCAGGTTCAGATTAACCTAAGTGCAGTGAAGTAGGCCACCCCTTCACATCCCAGCTCCATACAAAGCTCCTTTCAGCCAGGCTTAACAACATGGGAATAAAACAGAGTGATATGAAAGACAAAAAGCTGGACAAAGAACATACATAGCCTGATTTCTCAAAGCACAATTCCATCACATTCCAGAAAAGCCCTGAAACTTAGATGTATAGGCAGATAGGTGGCATGAACACACATATAGGAAATTTAAACAGTACCAGTATTTAGGTTTTCCCTCAAAACCTTATAAAAATCTTTCTGCTCTTTTAAACCCTGCACAATTATGACTTTCCCCTGACACGTAGTTAAAAATATCTTTTATTGCTGCACATTTTCAGTTTGGATTCAGTAGGATGATGAGGGACTTTGTCTCCTATGAAAATCACACAATTTATCTTCAGCAGCAGTTTTTCTACCACTAATTCATAATGCTAAAAAAAGCCCAGTAACCCCAGTTTTTCTGCTTAAGGGAGTAGTGTGAATCAGATACTCACTGAATATACCAAAAAAGGCCAGCTCACTAAGTAATTCTGCACTTGTCTTGCTGTGAGCTCTTGAGGTACATTTGGAGTGAATGTCACCAACAAGTATATCCCTGTTATTGTCAGTGTTCCTCCTATAAAGAAAAGGACACGTTACTTTGCAATACAGTATTTGGTAATCATGGTCATAGTTGATCTCCATCTGATTCTGAAATAGTTTCTAGAAGAAAATTTAACTTTCTAGAAGTCCATTTAAACAGATCTATGATTAGGCAATTGGATTGCCTTGCACTTGTGGTCTTATCTAGTCTAATTTTTATTGAAGACTCAAAGAATTTTGGAAACATGAAAAAAGTTGTCAGTAAAGCCATGTGAATTAGGATTCCAACTCAACAATGCATTTTCAAATACTTCCAATTCTAAACTCAAGTGTATGACAAAGGAGAAAATGCTTTGTATTTCTCCCAGGCACAAAGTGCATCACACAAACTCAGCCTAAACTGAAAGGACACATTTCCTACTAGAGCAGTCAGTTAGATCATTAATCAGAGTAAATAAACATAAGTGTCCCAAAGTCAGTGTGGCCATAGAGATCTGTATCCAGAGATCTGTACCCAGAGATCTGCACCCAGAGATCTGCACCAGCGACCAACCTTCCCTGGAAGCATCAGATGCAACACACACGTGCCAGTCCAGTGCTCAAGCGAGGCTGTCATAGGGCCAGCATTCTGACCACTCCCTGTTGTATTGGCAGATCTATGAATTGTTTTATAAAAGGATGATTTGCAATCGTCTGTTCAGCCACTAGGTTGCCAGGGCCCCTTTTCAAGGTCGAACTTGCATTATTATGCTTTTAATAAAAATCTGAAAGTTCTGCCCTGTGGACATCTGCCTGTGACAAACACAGATGTTCACTGAAGTATCAAGATAGAAGTGATATGATCCTAAGATCATAAACTGTATTGGATTAAGGAAGATATTAGCTAATCAATTTTTCTTCAAGTAATCTTTAAAGTTCTTGGTGAACCTATAAATCGGTGTGGAATGCAAGGCTCAGGAATACAAAACAAAGCACATCCGGAGGGCTTTGCTGGCACTGCTATCTCAAACAGTTCCCTTGGAAAAGCAAAACTGTGTTATATTTATGTGCTTGCAAAACCATCACCATATTTCCTATCATACAGCTCATTCTTATGGAATGTAGCAACATTGTTAAATCCATCTTGCAAAGTCAAACTCACAGAAATAAAATAAATCAGCTGAACACTAGTTAAAGCAACACACAGTGTATAAGACCATAAGGGAAACATGATCAGTGAAGGGAGGGGGGTGAATTTAGCAGCTGAGCTGGCAAATTTGGATTCCAAGCCTAAATAAATCGTATATAGTATTCCTGGAACGATGCTGAACAGATCTCTCCAACACATTCATGAGAACAGCTGTCCCCACTACAGTTTGGACAATCAAACCTAGATGTTAGGAACCCACAGAAATATCAAGTGCCCTGCATCAGGTGCACTGTCCCAGTTGAGATGGCTTGGTGTAAAGCCCAAACCCTGAAATGTGCTTTTCTCTCCCTATTACTGCGTTCAAGGTGGGTAGTTTTGATATGCAAAAGAATCTTGGACACAGATAAAAAGTTGTCAGGCTCTTACAGTGAAGACCACATTTCCCAACTGAACACTTGACAATATGATTATTTGTTTTTTAAAGTGATAAAACTAAAACCAAAGGGAAGTTATCACTTTAAATTGAGCTTGAATTTTTTGTGCAATATCTATGCAGTATGAAAACAGAATCAATCCTGTATCTGAAAAAGTAACACTAAAACTTCCCTGTTTTTATTAATTCTGTTTTGTACTCACAAAGATAATACTAAAGACAACCTCAGAGGTAAAAATAGGAAATGAAAATAAATTTGAGCAATAAGGACACATAAGGAATGAGTTATGGTTGTAAGAGCGAGGATTTGGGAATACAGTCTTTTTCTCATGCACTGAAGATTCTCTCTCTTTTTATCACTTTTTTCCAATTTTGAAAGTATCTGCCTTGAAACACTTGCTTGGAAAAGTGGGAGTGTGAAGGTGGGGGGCTGCATGAGAGTTACAGCTTGCTAAGCATATGGCAGCACACATGTCTAAATTAGCAAATGCTTACTTACCCAATATATCAGCAGTCCTCATAGTCCTCTTTAGGAAAAAGACAGAAATAAATGCACTACCTAGAATAGAAATATAAAGACCTTTATATAAATATATATATTTGTTAGAATATCAAGTGCTATAGCAAAAATCTGCCCTGGGACAAATTTAAATATATCTCATGGGTGTTGCTGTTGCACCATACCATGATATAAACAGCCAGCAGTCCATTCCTGCAACTCACCAACACTTAGTTTCTGTAAGATTTCGGATGTATCCAGCAGGCTCTTACGTGGTTGAAAAGATGTGATACCCTTCTTATTTCCCACACAGGGACACTGCTTAAACTTCTCTGATTGTCAGAAATTCTCTGATTGTCCTGAAATGTCAGGAAAACTGGGCACGGATCAACCTTACTGTTTCACTCCCCACTTGGCTACCAAGTCTGTATAGACTTGCTCAAGGCAAATTGTATCACAGAACAATAAAATTCTGCTCCTTTAGTCTTCAATGTATTAGAGGCTTTTAAGCAACATAACAGCAGTACAACTGAGAAGATGAAAGTCACTGCAAAAACACAGTATTTAGCATGAACTAAGTGGTCATGACATCTGCAGACAAACAGGAAGAAAACCCCACACATACCATACAGAAACACTGTCCATGGTCTTTCAGAGTGACTTGCTCTGAGGAAGGAGAAAACTGGAAGTGAGTCCTAGAAATTATTTCCTGTTTTCTGGGAAACACTTTCTCTTGTTCAGCTCTTGCATCTGACCTCTGCCAGCTCCTAGTGCTGCCTCTTCAAGGTGAGCAGCAGCAGTGGCTGGGGTCGGTTTTGTTGCTAGCAGGTCAGTGTGGACATGTGCTAGAGAGGAAAGAAGGGCTTTGAACTCAGGATGGATGAGACTGGGAGACATGGCTCTATTCCAGCACACAACATCTACCTCTGAAAAGAAGGAAAAGAGGCGGGATAGCTCCTATGTAAAAGAGATGAGTGAAGTCCTCTGTGAGAAGTGCATTAATAATGTTAGATTCATTCAGAAACCTCAAAGAAAGACTGCTCAGGAGGGACAGTGAAGGGACACATTGAAATTGAGTCATGGGATGCTATTCCAAGAGCTCTCTACTTGTCTACAGCATGATTTATTCTTGAAATAACAGTTCAACATTTTTACAACTATCTTTGCCTCTATTGTTCTCCTGGAAAATTTAATTCATGGTTAGCTAGTAGATGTATGCTAGAAAAATCTAGAGAGGTTCATACCAAGTGGTAAAGAGAGAACTGGAATTCAGCATCAGGCCTCTGTTTTCCAGTCAGTAGAAAATCAGATATAGCAGAAGTCATAAAATTAAACTGTAGCAAGAGTGCTGGGGATCTGTGCAAACGAGTAAGTGCAAAAAAAAGGATCTTCAGCTGAAAATGCCTCATTGAAATTAGGTTGCCTGGTATGGTTTTCTTTATTCAATTTTTCAGTGACGACTTTGCAGAGTGAAGACACTGATGGTATCCAGGCAACACTGGTAATAGCAGAACTACCTAGGTTTAGAAAAAAAAAAAAGGGACAAAAACCAGGAAAGAAGCAGCACCATCCAAGATAGTGCAGGAATTAATTACTGTTCTGTCTCCCTGCTCTCATAGCTTTCACAGATCCCATCTCAACCCACTCACCTAGACAGTCTCTGTCAGAGTAAAGAGCTGCTGCTCAAAGGACTGATATCTCAGTGATTTTTTTGCTGTCCTTTTTGTTTGTTTGAGTACTCCATGTCTGGGCTCTGCATTCAGCAGAGGTCTAGTAAATGCAATTCCACTGCTGGCATCCAATCTGAGGTAAGATGAGTTATGCCCAAGTGTCAGCTTAGGGGGATCACAACCTCTGAGGCTAGCAGTGGGCACAAGGAGGTGCTGGAATGCAGCCAGATAATGAAACTTGTCACTCTGCTTTAATAATGCATTCAGATGCACCAAGCTCTGTCTCCAGAGATAGCTGGTATTGCACCAGAGATCATGAGCTTAACAGAATCTATGTATAATTAATACTTTTTATGATGTAGAGTAATATGTAGAGGAATCTAAAAATAGGAGGAGTTTTAAGAACACACATTAGACCATCTGGGAGTAGAGAAAAAACTGAAGTAGGAGGGGAGGTACAACACCAAGCTGAGGAGAAAGAGACCCAGGAGATACTCTGAACACAAAAGACAGCTGTCTCTGTGGGTAAGCTGCCGATGCTCCAGTGGCATTCAAGTGGAGAAGAAAAGGAAATGGGGTAAATCTAAGAGAATAAGCAGAGAACATTTACACAGACCTGATGAGATGCTAGAAGACAAACATGACTGATCAGAAGCCTTGCAAACTCTGGCTGTTATCTCCAGGACTAAATTTTAAGCAAGTTATGGTAGCATGGCTAAGAGAACATGATATTTTAATTTTAATTTTGTTAGTTTTCTGGGGTTTAAGCTCCCAGGTTGGCTTTGGGATAGTCTTCCATATTCGTCAGTTCTCGAGGTAGGCTTGAATCAGATTGAAGCAAAGAAACCAAGAGCTGATTGTCTTGTTGCAGGTGGGTCAGGGAGGAGGGGTATGAAAGGAACCCTGGGAATGCAGGCTGGTGTTTGCTAGTTTTGCCTTCTGCTGGCTTTGCAGGGTTTTTTGGCTGGGGAGACAAATGACAGACACCAAAGTGTTCCCCAGGAGCCCAGCGAGAAATCCACAGAAATCCACAGAAATCCCAGCTGCCCTGCTCCTCTTCCTTAGCTCCTTTGTGCTCCCACTTACAACCTCAGGTGCACTCAGTTGCTAAAGACGTTAACTCCTCCCAAAAAGGCCATTTAAGACAATATAAAATAAAGACATTATATAATAAAAGGCCAACACATACTCTCAGCTCTCCTCTCTGCTGGATGGCCTTCAAGCTGATCCTGCTTTGAGCAGGAGGTTGGGTTAGGCACTTTCTGAGGTTCCTTTGAACCTGAGCTATCCCTAGCGCTCGTGAGCTCTTTGCAGGAGAGTAAGTGGGCATCCAGAGGCTAATAACTCAGCCACCAGATATATGAATATAAGCCCTTCCTGTATTCCAGATTAAGTTCTTAAATGCAGACCTGCTGAAACTCCCCAGACTCCCCTCTCCTTTCCCACTCTCCCTCAGATCACATGTGAGGTGTCTCACATCTTCCCACCTCTCCTCCTCTCTACCAGTGATGTTATACCCCCATATTCTACTCAAAGCCCACTTCCCTTGATTTCATCCCATCACCACAGAGGAAGTTAATTACCTACCACTCAGCCCCAATTCTTCCTTTCCCATGCCAGAGTTCTTTTGTTCTCCCTCCACAGAAACTGTGCTTCCTCCTCCTCCACCATTATACTGATGTGAGAAATAAATTATTGAACATGATGTTTGAGTCTGTAAATGAATAGACTGAGGAACTTGGGCAATTGCTATGCTGAAAATTATGAATGTATCTTTGTAATGGGTTTTTTGTTTGCTTTTTAAGAAAAAACATAGTTATAGAGATTGAGATCTGTGTCAGAGTGATAAATAGTTTTCTTCTTGTTTTGTTTTTTGGTTTTTTTCTTTTAATTGGTTAGCAGTAGAATACAACAATAGAGAAATGCAGACAAAAATCATGTCAAAGAGTAAGCTGGCAGTAGCTCGGCAATAAAACAAGCAATTTATCATTGTTCTGAAGCCCTGCTGGTTTTGAACCACTGGCTTTGGGAACACAGCACATGGACAACCCTAGGCCTGGATTAACAGCCTTCAAGTGACCAAGGCAAAGACTGCATCCCTGGTCATCTGAGAAGATGCACTTTTGGGTGAATCAGAATAACTTTTAGCTTTTTCATTAATTATTAAGGTGAAACTGTCAAAAGTAGGCAGAGATCCAGCTCCCATTCCCAGTGACAATGGTAGCCTGCTAGATGAAGAGAAGGGCAGAAAATCTGAGAGATGATCTGTTAAGGATTAAACATCACAGAACCAACACATCCTAATGTAGTCCTTGAGTTTGTTGCATGCCTTGATTGCATACTTGTATTAATATCTGTAATTTGAAAAGTAAATATGTAAAATGGCTGTATCAATACAACAGAGCCTTTCTTAATGCTCATGAAACTCAAATGGAAAATATGATTTGACACTACATAAAAATCATGATAAATAAAAAAATCATTATAAACTGTAGGGTGGGAAATGGGAGAAAAGAGTTTGTTCAGGAGCTTAATTGTTGTCTAAAAATCTTCATCTTTTCATACACCAGCATAAACCAGGCTGGTTTACATTCATTATTGAATGAATATATTCCTTATTTATTGAATGATCACATATTCACATTATTGAATTAATGTGCATTCATTGCAGCATGTGAATTTCAACGTAAATTGAAAAAATGATAAAAAATTTTGAGTTTTTTCATGATATGCAATTAAGTGACTTGATGAGGAGCTGTAATAGTGCTACACATAGATCATTCTCTTAGGAGAGTGATCGTTTACAATTATCTCCATATGTAGGTTTTCTCCAGCACAAATAGAAATAAAAAGCAGTGTGATGTGTGGGTTCTGCCACTAGCAGACAATGAATGGTGAGAATCCAGCTCACAAAATAACTCCTCTGCTTCCTAGACATGAAGGCTGCAGTTAGGACTGGGTTTTGTTTGTTTCTTTAAGGAAGGGATAATACACAACAGAAGTAATAGATAGAAAATACATACTGATTCATAGCATGTATTCTCTGTATTTTGTCCAATCCAGCCATAAAAACTCGAGTGTGCATGATTTATTTTTCCAATGCAAAACTATTTTACTATATTTCACTATCAAGCTGTTTTTCTGATACTCAAGCCATTTATGAATATGGATTTTACCTTTTTTTTTACTGTCAAATCTTACACTAAATAGTTTTTGTAACAACTGTTCATAACTTCAAATATTAGTCTATCCTTTCTTTTCCTCTTTTTGATTACTAGATGAGCTTTATGTACTATTTTAAAAGATTAGTGCTCTCCTCATAAATGCATAGACTGCTTGCACTACTTCCATCTTCTCTAACAGTTTAAAAAAAAACAAAACAAAACCCACAGAATTTCATATTTTCTAAATGTTCATTTTCTTAAGCTTAACAGACTCAGGTAAAGGCATTTAAAATCACCCATCCAGAAGAACACTTCACCAGTGGTCTGGATGAAATACCAAGGCAGGAGAACTCTATAGATATTATTCAAAGACTATTGCACCTCTCTCAGTTTGTGCAACAATATTTCACTCTGAGACCAAGTTTACTGTGTTTTATGCAACTTAAGGGTGTGCTTCCATCTAATCAAGCAGCTTAGTGCACTCAGTTGGTTTTGCCCTGAATGAGTTGAGCAGTGCTCAAATTACAAGGATGCAGTTGCTGCCAGTCACATTCCAAGATGTGACCTCAAAGTCTGCTTTATATGAACAGACCCTCAGCCTATCTTCCAAGCCAAACTGATTCAGGATCCTCCCAGTACTGAAAAACTTGAAGATGCTTCAATCCATCCCCAAACACAAGCTATTGTAGTTGTCACAGAAAAATCAGGAAAATCTGGAAAGATTATGACATGCTGCAGCTCAAATGACACCTGGGAACAAATTCATTACATCTGAATTCTAAAACCTATTCCTAGTTTATACAGTGGATATTAATGCTCCACTGAATACAAAGAAAGACATTACAGATACCCCTTGACAGGTGTCCTGCACACTGAACCTGTAACATTTCTAACATTATCGAAGATTAGTGCTGGAAAAGTGGAGAACAAAACATGAAACGTTTTTCTCCTTCTGAGAAATTGCTCAAAAGAGAGACCATTAAGATGACCTTAATTCTGGAACCTGGATTATAGGACATACACACTGCAGGGAGAAGGAAAAACCCTGAAAATCCTTTTGTTGCGTCTTCTAGACAAGTATAAATCAAGTATTTTAAAGAATAGTTTGGTGAATGTTTCCTAGATATCATTAGTAACAGAGTCCTCAGAATTCCAACTTCTTGGGCCTCAAAGATGTTACATTACAGTGAGTGGGAGAAATCAATTTCTACAAGAGTATCTGAGAACCTTCCTAAAGTACATCAGGAATATATATTTTCAAAGCCTAAGGCCCCCCACTGCTGTTCACAAGGAGCATATAAAAATGCAAAGGGATCCTAACAATGTCAGGCTAAGTGAGGCAAGTGTAAAACAACTCCCCACAGAATGATGAACATTGCAGCAGAAATTTTCTCCAACGCCACTGGCCTGTCTTCACCTTTTCCATCCCCAAGTCATTTCTGCAGGCAAAAGCAAGATGATGAGCTAAAAACCACTGCAACCTAAAATTACCCAAGCTACGTGTAAAACATGAGTTTTATTTTTTAAGTATGGAAAGTTTCTTAATGATCACATCAAACATATATTACTCCTCCACTTTTAAATTAAAAATTTACTAATTTCTCCTCTTGAAGAAAACAACTGCTGTCTTCTCAAACTATTTAAAACCCTGAACAGATGTAGAGCTTGCATCATTGCAACCACACACAGAAATACTTCCACTGTGTAAGAAGCAAAAGATAGTTTTTCTAGCTTAATTCTAAAAATAAAAAAAATTTTACATCTCTTGGCATCATGCCAATTCATGATCTTTGGTGCTGTATTCTTTTTAAAACATGACACTGGAACAATCCAGCTCAGTAGAAAGAAGCCCAAATTTTTCACAACTTAATTGGTACCGGGTTAAGTGCAAAATTCAGTTGGATGTAGTTAAATGTGGTAGCAGAGCATAATAGATGTTGGCTCCATCTATTTTAAGATGCTCCCTGTCTCAGAAGTCTGGAGATATATGACGGGTAAAGCCCAAATCCATTCTGGGCAGAAACTCCAGTTTGCCTTATCCTCCTCCAAACCCTGATTTCCAAGCAAAGGAAACTTTCCCTGCAAACCCTGAGTCACAGAGACCTGCAGAGAATCCCCTCGATGACTGGACACACTGCAAAGCACATTTCTCCTCAGTACACCATATGTACTGCATTTCCAGTGTCAGTGGGAGCCAGCCCTTTCCATATGGGATATGTTGACACTGAATTTGGGAACAAAATGCTTCTCAGGATGTTGGACTTAGGGGTCAGGTATACATTTGGAGTTTGTTATCAAGTACTTAATTTGTTCATTTAAAAAATTAATTTATGAAAGACACACATTCAACAATACCTCAAAAAAACCTGTCAGCCAGATTCTGCAAAGGCCACCCTCCATCAATTAAAAGAGGTCACAACTTAATGAGAAAAATATTTCTTGATCTTTTAAATTGGAAGACCTGTTGCCTAAACTACCCTTTGCCCAGTTGTTAGCAGATGATGGACATGTGACTTGGGCAGTTTGTCATTGCCCTAAATGATAAACTCTTTTAAAATTAAAAGAATGCTCTCTCTCTGGCTTTAATTTCAGAAGAAGGAAAGTATCTTGTAGTAGGAAGTGTTGCTGGGAAGTTATTGCTGTAATTGGCTGTCTACACAATTTTTACTTGCTCTTTCTTAAGGGAATGTTTGCTAGACTAAATAAAATTTCAGATATTTCTATTGTTTGGGCTATGAAATGGATACTGTCCGTTGATTTATGGGAATGGAATATAAAATATTAAAGTGCTTCCTGGGATCTTCCAGAATAAGAATTCTGGGCCAGTTTAAAAAAAATAAAAGTGGATGAGAATTTTGGTAAGACATAACCATAAGTTAGGAAAATGGTTTCTTGTTATTTGTTGTAAGTAAGGGAAGCAGAGAATGAAGGAATTATCAGATGCAACATTTCTTCACATTTTGCAAAAGCAAAGAAAGAATCTGCTTGGATAAAAATCAACCCTAAATGTGATCTCATCTTTTTCACTTTAATAAATATTGGGATTTTTCCTCCTACTCACTGCTTTTTGCTTTTTCTCTCTAATTTTCTGTATTTGCATTTTATTCAGTTTGGACAACTGAAAAAATGAGATTGGCCAGTATTCTTTGATGTTCAAAGATGTTTAGACAATGCCTACAATTGTTACAGATATAACTACTGCCACCAAAATCACACTGGGATATGTCGTATTAATTTACATTTTCATCTCAGGTAATATGCTACTCCTTTCTTTGAGAACTCTTTCCTACTATGATGAACTAACATGGCTTTATATTTGAAATTATGCACTAGTTTAACATTAAAGGTTAAAGTAAATTGCCTGCAGTTTCCTTCCCTCTCTCTCTCTGCTAAATTGCACCACATATTGTTAGCTGCTTCCTTCCACTACAGCTAGGCAGTTCACCTAGATAGGGGAAGATATTTCATTTTTTCTACCTTCCCTCACTTCAATGTCACTTCCAAGCATGCAACTGGTCTCTGGAGACCATGAAATGTTCCACTTGCCAATCGCAAGTAAATGAGCTCCAACATACTCAGAACTGTTGAGATCTCTCAGTCCTGGGTGTTTCAGCTGTGGATGTGAAGTGACCAGGTTAAGGGATGCAGCTGCACCCTGTATTCCTGTTTTCATGGCTTCCATACAATATTGCCCTGTCTACCCTGCTTTACACTAGCACAACATGAAGACATATTTTTAAATATGTTACTTTGTCAAAGAAATGGATATCTTATACCTGAGCACCTTAATAACAAAAAAACCCATATGAAGTAAAGAGTGAGATCATAATCACTTCAGCTAAAGTCCAATTAATCTGTACATAAAGGAACAATGTTTAATAATGTCCATAAATGTACTAAACATTTCTGGAAATTTCTAGGCCCTTTTTGTCACACATCGTGGAGTGTCAAGCAAGTTTGCCCACATCAACATGAATCATGGTGACAGGCAGGGAACAGGCAGAAACCACTTGGCATGATGGTAACACAGAAATTGTATTGTAGGTACTCGGGATGAGAGCACAGCTCTGTGCATGCAGCAGGATGCCAGTCCCCTCTCTGGGGGCTTGCAGAACTGGCAACACTCTTAGAGCTCTGGGCAGGAGCTAGCAGAGCACAGAGTGACGCAAAACACAAAACCATGGAAAAAGAAATATATTAGAAGAGTCTTTAAGTAGACAGTTTTTGTCAAACTGTCAGCTCATGTAATTATACGAATAATTTCTTCTCAAATCACGACATTAACATTTTCCTCTTGTGCTCCTGCTGCAGTTTCTGTGGTATTATTCCTCTAGCCAGAAGCAAGCATTTGATTAAAGCATATGCCCGAGCAAGAAATGGCAAATCGTCTCACCTATAACAGAAACACATCCCAGTGGAGCCACAAGAGTAATGGGGGCGAATCCATAGGCTGTGAAATTGCCCACCTCTCCAAGCCCCAGGAGGGTAATCCCACACCACCACAGCTTGCTCCTGTAGCAGGGCTTCTGCTCTGCTTGGCAAACCAGTCGGAGATGAGCGCATTTCTGGAAAATTAATTATTAAGAACAGGCATGAATAGAAAGACTTCCATTGTGTTCTTATGTCTAACAAAAGTGCAATAATTAAGGGGGCTGTCAATTTCAAGTTCCAGGTGTGTCGAGGTTTTCTTTTTAAACGTGACTTTGAGCTCGTTCTTGCAGAACTTTGTGTTAACTCAGTGCTGCTTCAGAGGTGCCTTCTTAGCTGTGGTGGAAAGGGCTGAAAAATCAGGTCTCTGAATAGACCTGAAAAATGCTAAGTGAATACTAGCTAGTGATTCCTAGCTATCACTGCACACATCTGTTCTTGTCTCAAAGCAAAGCTCAGCAGTTGTGCTCTGAATCTGGAAACACTCAAAGGCAGGAGACAGGGCAGAATCAGAACTGTGGCAACAAACTGGGACAGTGGGAGCAGACAACAGGGCGTTCCTGTCTATGAAACCTATCCTCACCAGAAATACACTTTCAAAATTAAAAAGGCAGCATTTAATCACGTCTTCTGTAGGGAGGACTCTAAATTAATGACACAGAATTTATGATTTGGCTACAATCTCCTGTTTGACCTTAGAAGGAGATCATAAGTAAAGCATTATTTTCTAAAGAAAACAGTTGGCACATGTATAACATATACTCAAGTAATACTTCATCAACACTTCCTGTTACATGAAAAAGGTATCATTGGCAAAGTTGTAATTGTTTTCTCTCTGGCTGTACTGCAAGAACCTGTATATAGCAAGACAATTTGTCTTTGATCACACTGATCTTCTGAAACAGAGTCCAGGCAATTTCCATCAAGAAAGTGTCATAACTGGGAAGAATGCAATGTTTACCAAATTAATTCTGCAGATTATCATTTCCTTTCTCGTATTACTCTCCAGCCTTTCTGCACATGGGACAAAAAAAAAGGTGGAAATCAAATGATACAGTTATTACAGTACAAATGGTGGTAAAAGAAATTTTTTTCTCCATTACTTGATATTTTTTTTAGAAGTCTGCCTGCAGAGCCTGGGGAGGTTGTAAAGGATTTTCCTCATGCTCTCATCGTTCTCTGTAGGCTACCTGACATGGACAAAACATAGGACAAAGAGCAATGTCTGCTGTACTTCACAGTCTTTGTCAGTGCCCTTGTTGAGAAGCTGCAGCACATTATTGCAGCTTCGTGCTGTGGCACTTGTTCAGGGGATGAAGTTCTAGGAAGAAGTTTAGCCCTCCAAGGAGAAAAAGAGCAAAAGCAAATCAAACTTGAGCCACAGACCTGGATGCTCATCACAGTAACATCCAGGATTTTCCATTTTTATAAAGAAAGAAACAAAAAAAGCACAATAAATATACAAATTAAATTAATATTTAATATTCAAATTATTATTCATGAATCCACGTTTCTGCCAAAAAGTTAAATAGCAAAAATTCTTAACTGAATCCTGAGATGTATTTTCACCCGAGATTCTTGTAGGATTAATTTTGAGGGCACAGTGGGTTTGAAAAGATGTGCAGCAAACACAGGAAGGTGAGCTCACCAAGTCCCCTACAGCCTTCTTTCTCCAAGTGTCTGTCCTCTTAGCACAGTAATGTGGGCAAATGGTATTTAGGTGAAGGCTGTTTATAATTCAGCTGAAATGCATTGCAAATGATGAGCTGTTCTTTAGTAGACAACCTGCTAAAGGGAAAAGAAGCAGGATAATGGACTGTATGGTCAGAAAGAGAGAGAACAAAAAAAGTTGGCCTGTCCAGTTAATAGGAGTGTGAAAATAATTGTTGAGATCTAGGGAAAGTCATTATTCATATTTAGAAGATACTGTTATAAATGGAGAAAAACCTAATTTAAAGGATAAAAAAAAGTTTAAATTTTCTGTCAAATGGCAATGAGAGCTATTGGTTTTCTCTAATCAGCATTTAAAAAGCTGATAGTTCAAATCAAGTAAGGGCTGTTAGGATTACAAGTCAGTTAAGTCTGCTTGTATGCCTCAGTACATCCCCTTGCAAAGCATCTACTTTGGCACCCAGTACCCTCAAACAAAAGATATGAAATCTGAACAACCTCATTATTATGGCTAGACTGAATTTCCACTTCACATTCACTTTTCTTCACTTCACCTTTACCTTTCCACTTCAGAGGTTTTCCTAGAGCCTGTCCTAGCACTGTCACCACCTGCAGGTTGGAACTCATGTTGGAAAGGCAGCAGTCATCTCAACTTGCCTACCACCTCTGGCTAAACAGGTTCCTTTCTATGGGATTTCTATGGGATTCTCCAGGTAATGATGTTTAAATAGAAGGGAATCACTGAAGAAACTTCTAGCTTTAATAAATTGGGTTACTATGAATGGAAGCTTTCATATGCCACAACCTTCTATTTCATCCTTTACAGAAACCTGTACATTTATATGAAACCTGTACAACTTTTAAAATACTATATAGAAAAAAAGCTTCTGGACAGTTTACACAACAATGTCTTCTGTGCTTTAAAGACTCTTGTTGGAAGACCTAAAAAAACAATGACGTCTACGAGATACAGATTATAACGAAAAATTTAACTTTCTAGTGAGTATGTATTCTAATTACTGAAACAGAAATAATTTTATAATTGATATCCTATAATGCTTTACCACAGTTGTAAGGGCAACACCTCCCTTTAATTTCATTATTTAAAGAGCGTTTACTTGGATTCTTTTATCTTAATTGCAGAAGTAAAACTATATTGGCCAAAGTTGTTTTGGGGCCCAACATTGTAAAAACCTTTATGTCTTTATGCATTCATGGAACAGGTCCTCAGGGAGCTGACTCAGAACCATGCCCTCCTTGATCTGCTGCTTGTCAGCTCTGGTGAAGGACGCAGTGACTGGCGCCGTCTTGGCCACGGAGACCACGAAATGTTCGAGTTTAAAATCTTTGTTGACAGGAGGAAAAGTGCAGCAAAACCTCAACTCTGGACATGAGGAGAGCAGACTTCAGGCTGCTCAGGGAACTAGTAAGAAAAGTCCTCTGGGAAATGTTTCAGTAGTGCTGGGATCTGTCAGTGCTGGTCACATTTTAAACATCACTTCCTAGGGGCACAGGAGTAGCAATTCCCCAGTGTCAGAAGTCAAGAAAATAAGGCAGAAGGCTGTCTTGGAGAACAGGGATCTTCTTTTGGGTCTATAAATAGGCAATAAAAGGAAGGTGTGTGGCCAGTGGAAGCAAGGTCAGGTGATCTGGAAGAATACAAAGATGCAGCTTGCCACTATAGGGAGAAAATTTGTAGGGCCAAAGCTCAACTGGAGTTGAAGATGGACAGAAATGTGGAGGACAATAAAAACAGATTTCTCAGATATATATAGCAAAGGCAGCATAGAGATAACAGCAGCCTGTTACAGGATGAGGATGGGCACCTCACAAACAGGGGCATGCACAAGGCAGAGGTGTTTAATGCATTCTTTGCCTCTGTCCTCAACACAGATGATGAGCCAAGGGGGTCTCAGTGCCCTGAGCTGGAGGACCACAGCTGTGAGAATGATCAAATCCCACCCGACCCTCAATTTGTGTGAGATCTACTCCTCCTGCTGGACCCCAACAAATCTATAGGGCCTGATGGGATTAATCTAAGAATCCTCAAAGTACTAGCTAATGTAACTGCAAAACCTCTCTCGATTGCTTTTGAGCAGTCTTGGGAATCTGGAGAGGTCCCAGCTGACTGGAAGTGAACATTGTCCTGATTTTCAAGAAGGGCAAGAAGGAGAACCCTCAAAAATACAGACCTATCAGTCCTACTTCTGTGCTGGTAAAATCCTAAGAAGTATTATTCTGGGAGGTATTGAAAAACACTTGGAGGACAACGCAGTTATCAGTTACAGCCAGCACAGCTTCATGAGGAGAAAGTTCTGCTCGTTAAAAGCAAGCAGAATTTCCTTCTGTAACAGGGTAACCCACCTAGCTGATCTAGGAAAGCCAGTTAATGTCATCTTTTTGGACTTCAGCAAAGCTTTTGATACTGTCTCTTA